TTGTTGGGGGGCCGTTTTAGCCCCCTCTCACTACGTTTCTGCTTTCTGGAGCACCTACTTGAAGTTCCAAGAGCTGCAGATGTTGCAGGTGTTCCTAGTGAAAAGGTGCGATTTTGACAACATTATTTATTACTATTTTTTAGCTATCCAAAAATTCTAAACATTTCTAAGCTGAATATCTGATCACGCCAGGAAGTTTCACAACTATATGAATAATCTATGCAAAATATGGAACAGAGCTAAGGGATTGAAAGGCATGACATTAGCAAATGAAAGACATTGGATTCGTGTTGTAAAAATCGGACCCATACTGTACCAACATTTGTGTATACCCCACTACCATTTCATAGATTGTGGGTCAAATGAAGCATCATTAGTGTTTGAGTTAGCCTGTTGGTGTATCAATAAGGGGTCGTCCATTAATTATGTCACACATTTAGGGGGAGTGGGGGGTTTTGAAAACTGTGACGAGCCATACAAAAAAAAATTAAGGTTCATGCAAAAAATGTGACACAGGGGGGGAGGGGGGTTTTAAAATTGTTTCAAATTTGCGTGTCATAATTAATGGACCATCTCTAAGTAAATAAATAAATAAATAAGTTGTATTTAATATACATCTATTAAAACAATTTGAAAAGCTTTAATTCACAACCACCATAAACTGTTCCAGTTGCAGAAACTTCAGCTTTCGAGAGTTCCGAAACTTTATTCTCAAAAGTTGTAGGACTTTGAATTGCTTCATCCGTGAAATTTCACTAGTTCTGATTAATAACGAAGTAGCAATTATGGTTTTTACGGTCTTTAAAAAAACGTGTACATGTACCGATAAATAAATTGAATATAATTCACAAACATGGCTCACGAGCAGGGGTTGATACAGTTGACGTTTTTTTACTACACTCGCTTCGTTGTCGTGCGTGACAGTCTATTTGTATTCGTACACTTATGCTCTACTGTCGTCTCTCTCACACAACACAACCGGTAGAACATTCGATCAAAAAGAAAATTATCAAATAAGTATCATATGACATGTGTGATTTCGTTGTAATTCCTCAATTTGGTGTAAATCAAACCATTTCTGATCAGAAATGTTATTCTACGACATCTTTGCTTGCTATTTTCAGAATTCACACAAGCACAACATCAGCAGCTCATATTATGAGGAAAACTAAAATACATACATTCGTGACGGTCTTCGGCGACAGTGTCGTATGACAGAGCCTGTCAAATGACATTTGAGTTTGGTACTGTACTATGATAGCTTGTTTCGGAGGCAAAGGCAGTCGATTATCACAGAAAATGTGTCAACTACCGTGACCGCTCACAAGACTGCTCAGGAGTTATATACGATTTGATTTGTTATCGCATTTGTCAACTAATTCAGTCAAATGACAATCGTTCAAATTTTAAACGATTTGATTTCTAAAGGGTGATACGGTCAAAATTTGGTCAAGGGAAAACGCGTGTAAATCGGTGAAATCGTTTATTTAAAAAATCAAATTAAATTTCTTTTTCAAGTTCAATTAGTATAAAATTCAGGAAAAATATTCAGTTAGGCTTCCGCTTTTCCAAATCCGAATTGGCGGGCCTTACGCTTGACCCCTGCCATCAGATTTTGTACAGCCACCTTGTCCACCTTCTTCGCCGCAGAAAGCCAGTTTGCCTTGAACTGCTGCTCGCCCTTAGCAGTTTTTTTGGTCTTCTTTAGGTTCCGCTTGACAATAGCCCAGTATTTCTCAATTGGGCGGAGCTCTGGCGTGTTGGGAGGGTTCTTGTCCTTGGGAACCACCTGCACGTTGTTGGCGGCGTACCACTCCATGGCCTTTTTACCGTAATGGCAAGATGCCAAATCCGGCCAAAACAGTACGGAACAACCGTGTTTCTTCAGGAAAGGCAGCAGACGTTTATTCAAACACTCTTTCACGTAAATTTCTTGGTTGACAGTCCCGGAAGCTATGAAAATGCTGCTTTTCAAGCCACAGGTACAGATGGCTTGCCAAACCAGATATTTCTTTGCGAACTTTGACAGTTTCATGTGCTTGAAAACATCTGCTACCTTTCCCCTTCCTTTTGCCGTATAAAACTCCTGTCCCGGAAGCTGCTTGTAGTCGGCTTTGACGTAGGTTTCGTCGTCCATTACCACGCAGTCAAACTTCGTCAGCATCGTCGTGTACAGCCTCCGGGATCGCGCTTTGGCCGTCGTATTTTGTTTATCATCGCGATTTGGAGTCACTACCTTCTTGTAAGTCGATAGTCCGGCTCGTTTTTTGGCTCGATGCACGGTTTTAGACGATACACCCAGCTTATTTGCGGCATCTCGGAGAGAGAGGTTAGGGTTTCGCTTGAAACTACCGGCAACTCTCTTTGTCGTCTCAGCGGCTTCCGGTTTTCGATTTCCCCCCGATCCAGACTTCCTGGCTGTCGACAAACGTTCCCCAAACACTTTAATTACATTTGTAACGGTTGATTTGGCAACTTTTAGCGATTTTGCCAACTTTGCGTGCGAGTAGCTCGGATTTTCGCGATGCGCGTGCAAAATTTTGATACGCTGCTCTTCTTGCTTGGACGGCATTTTGACAACTGAAGAGTGAATTCCAAAATCAAAATAGGAGCAACATTCTACACACACACACCTTCAAAATGAGGGGTGTTCAGATTTTTTAAATGCAAAATTGAAAGAAATACGTCAAGTTGATATTGACCAAATTTTGACCGTATCACCCTTTACTAACATCTCTTTTCTTTCTTCCTTTCTTTCTGCCTTTCATTATTAAAGAGACTTTCTGCCTTTGGCAAGTTCATCTCTGAATTTGTACTAACTGTATGATACAAAATTGATTCAATCGGCATTTAGCATTATATACGATTAAACTTAAAGATCTAATATAAAATATCTTGGAATGAATTCAGGATAATAAGTAAAAAGTTTTATTATCCTGAATTCATTCCAAGATATTTAGGATTCTGTCTGTACCTGCCTTAATTGTTTATTGTCGTTAAAAGTTTAGTTATTTAGTAGCAGATCTAAATTCAACCGTTCCATCTACTCTTTTCGATCTTTTGCCCTACTACCCGTTGGTAAATATTGGGTAGTTAGTGTAATTTTCTGAGACGCACTATACCGCCACGGAGCACAAACTCATTTTAATTCATGAAATGTTTCCTTTTTTTCGCCCGTAAATCATGACGAATTCAGTGGATCGAAACAAATAAAAAATGCCTTGTAATTTATATAACTTTCGTTTTCGAATGAGCAAATCGTCTCAACTTCTGACTACAGTTAAGCCTGAACCATTGCAAACGATGGAGAGTAACCTAGTTTTGTGCTTTTTTTCAATTTTCTAGCAACTAATAGTGTATAGAAGCATTCAGCGACGGAAAACCGGCAATCTGCCCAAAATCACTGAACAGCGCCGAATGCAACTAAATTAAAACAATGCCATTGCTGCTAGCGAAGCGTCTAAATCCTCCTCGAGACATTAACCCCTCGCTGTTTTGCGCACTCACAACCACAACGCTTGCCAAAAACCACAAACGAAGTATGGTGATGGTGGTGTTTATGGTTACAAAATTTCGTATTTGCATCTTTGTTTACCACCCATTGACCATGCACGATAATTAAATCTCTGGCGCCAAATTTACTAGATGGATTTTTTCCTCGTCCATTTGTACTTGAAATTATTCGCTAAACCCACCAGACTGAAACTGCGAATGTTAACCACAAATGGTTTTTCGTTCGGTTTGTAGGGTTTTGTTTTCCTCTTCCAGATTCCACTGGTCAAACATAAATGCTATATTGAAGAGCAAATCTTCAATGCTGGGTATCATTCCTGCCATGGGTGTTATCTTAATTTCTTTCGTCTGATCGTCCGGTGGCGACAACGGCGATCCGGCTTCATAGCTCCAGCTGCCAACCGCCGGAGGTTGTAGCATTCAACAGTCCGGAAAGCGCACTTGACTGCGCCTTGAAGTCGCCACTGAGCAGTTGTATCGGTTGCGAAATTGATAGCGATAATTTCTCGCAAACTCGTGGAGGCTTGGTTTCAAGACTGGTCCTAGTACGTTTTAAATCTGAAGTGGCTGAACGGAGCTAACCTTTGCCGTCAATCGTTTTTTTAACCTTGATCAACTGATTTTCCTGACGTTGAGTATTGGCAATGGCGTAGCGAGGAGCTTTTTTGAAATTACAAATATTCAAACATAATTTCTGTAAAAGCTTCTGCAATTATTTAAGAATAATATAAATTCGATGGAGTTTTGAGTTTCCTTCATAAAATTTCATCTACCTCTGTTGTTGAGGCTTTCCTTTTCGAATGGATTACCAGTATGGTTGATTTTCGCAACAGATGTCGCTAGTAAAAAAAATTGACAATTTATTGTGTATGCAGAAAAACGTATAATGTTGATTTTCACTAAATTAGAGCTTTTTCCGAAAAAAATATTTGGCGCACTTAATAGCTTTAATTTTACCGAATTGTTTTGTTTTGGCTTCTAAATGTTGAAATCTTCATACATTCTTTTTTTGAATAACTTTTTAACCATAGGAAAGTGATGCTATGCTGTCAGTAGTTGTGAGATAAAAACTAATAGCATACATTAATCCATTGATTTTTTTTTGTTCTTGTAACAGAACCTGTAGAATCTTTTACGGCGCCCACACACTTAAACGCGCACACCTCATCATTGGCATATTCTGTTTTCCAAAACCGCACCATGGGAGGAATGTTAATTTGAACTGCTAAATTATTCAACATTTTTCGTCTCGATCCCACCGCCCCGGCGAGTCTGTTTATTAGCACATTATTTGGCAGTTTTGTTCTTTTTCCCATTCCCAGCACTCTCCAGCAGCAGCAAAAATTACCATACAAACTCTATAGATGTTCGCAGCGAACGTTAACTCCTCGTTTAATCTTTTAATCGTCAAAACGTCTCACGAGCGTATAAAACTCACGGTATCACTAATCACTTTCTTCTTTTCATTTGTTTCCCTCCGATTTCAGGATCAGTACGAGAACCTGGCGACACACACACAGAAAGGAATTGATTTTTTAGACCGATACGGTAATTTTATTCGTGATCGCAGTGCCATCGAAGTCGAATACGCCGGAAAGCTAAGGTGAGTCGTTTTTAAAACTATTGTTTAAAACACTATCGTCGTGCGGTAGTAGTGGTAAGGCGAGGAACGAGATGATTTATGGGTTGGGTCCCGGATAATTATACTGTGGCCGCGTGCGCAGACCGGACAAGTTTCGTGGGTTGGATCAAGTCTGTGTTTTAGTTTCGCAAGAATTGAATTATGATATTTTGGATGTTTTTTTTTTTCATCGTTATATGACAGTTTACCTTTCTCTGGCTGTGACCCAGCTAGTGTTTCCCTCAACCCATGAGAGCGTTGCTTATGATGCAGTAGCCAATGGAGATCGTTTAAAATAATATTTGAGTGGGTAAATTATATCAAGCACTTCCGGGCCCGATGCTAATTTTAGAGCATGCAAGATTGAATCAACCTTGGCTTTTGAGGAATAGAATCGTTATTTTACGGGCTATACAATTAGATTGTTTTCTTATATAGAAGATATAATTTAGTAGTTCTCTGAAATCTGAAAAAGGCCACAATATGAGCTTCATTTGAAACTATTAAAAAAGTACATGTTTGGCACTTATTTCCCCACAAACTCCCATATACAGTGCCTTCCCGTTTGAAACATAACTTCCATGTAAAAACTGTATAGAAATCACTAGAAGAACATTGAGGAAGTAATCATCTATTTATTGAGGTCGTGTTGTCAAAAACGAAAAGGCGCTGTATTAAAGGATTAAATTTAATGATCTATTTAGTCAGGAAAATTAAGTAGAAGTTATTAAATATGTTTGGAGTAGTCAGTAAGTGACCTTTTGCAAACTGTTGGTAAAAACAAGCGATTGCACTGATATTGATATCAGAACCCTAGTCCTAACCACTTCAAACTAGAGAACAACGGATATAAGATTATAAATTACTCATACGACTAACCCATTTTATCCTTGCTTATTCTCGGTACAACCCGGGTAGAGGGAAATAGAAAAAGCATAACAAAATAATATCAAACTTTACTATCAATTTCTTATTATGTTATTGGTACGTTGTGCGCTATAACAAGATAATAGCTTATTCTGCTATCAAAGCATGAATTCAAGAGCTAATTTTTATCTGATAGCAGAATAAGCTATTTAAGTTATTAAATTTATTAACTAAAACAACATACCAATAACTTGATGAGATAGAATGACAAAATGTGATATTAATTTGCTATGATTTTTGCTATTCTTTAAATATGAGAACAACTGGCTTTGCTATTACTCAATTATGGTCCCATATGTTATTTTATATTATTTTTGACCAATCAAACTAATAGCAATTTTTGACGATGAATTCTGTCCCCAATTTTAATAGTATAAACTTGTTACTGATTTGATATTCTTGTCTACTCGGGAAGCGATGCGAGTCTTGTCACTATTGCCCTGTTATGGATTCTTCAGTGGTGTTGAGTACTTGGCATTGATGAAGTCTGCAAGTAGTACACGAAATACGCGTATCTGTCAAAAGATAAGCAATTATAACGGAATTTAAAGGAAATAAACCAAAACACTCAAAGTTCTTCATAAAGGGATTCCGTTAAGAGGATCGACACATTTAAAAGAAAAATAAGATGTTGAACATTTAAAAAATTTCAAGATTTTTGGGCCAGAATAGATTTTTTTTTGTTGGAAGGGATTTTGAGAAGATTTTAGAATGAAAGTCAGTGATAACACCTAGGTGTTCCAGAGAAAACACTTTGACTTTAAGTCACTTGTGTAGAATTTGTAAGTAGCTCTGTGGAAAATTCCAAGCCGATTGTGAAGAGGATCATAGGATCCGTGAAAAATACCAACGGAATCGAATTTCAAGAGTGCAATTCCCAAGGAAATCTGATAATAATTTTAAGGAAATTCCGAGGATAATTCCAAGGGCATCACGAAACAAATTTCTAGATAATTTCAAGGAACTTTCCTAACAAAATTCCAGCAGAATTTAGTGGAAAACTCCAAGATAATTCTGAACAAAATTTCAATACAATTCTGAGGTGAATTACTTGAGAATTCTAAAAAGAATTCAAGCGAACTTTAAGTATAATTATGGGAGGATGCTTCAGTGAATTCTTAAAAAAAGGCTTGAAATTCTAAGAAAATTTAAGAATTAATTGCATGATTTTAGTTCACAAAGTATTGATGACGAGTTAAAAAGATGTCAAATGAAAGTTCAGTGGGCTCGATGGAAGAGATGTTCAAAAGGTTTCCAAAGGGGATTCTAAATATTTTCAGATATACAGTCTTCTAGATATACAGGGTTGTTACGAGAATTTGTAAATAAATCTTATGCCAAATCTGCGTGAGCCCTAAATTAAAAAAAAAACGCGATCGGCTAAAAACGTATAAAACTACAAAACTTAAACTATCTTACAGTCAGGGTTGTTAATCGATAACCGTCGACAACGTATGCGTTAACTGCAACGCAAAATCTCCGTTGCAGACGTTATCGACGGTTATCGATTAACCCTTTGTCTGTATTTTGGGGTCAATTTGACCCCAGGCAATTCTGCAATCTTGATTATTCGTCGATTATTTGATTATTTTCTCTGACTTTTTGCATGCTAAAGTCTTCTTGATATGCCTGTCTCTTAGTTAACTTATTTAATACCCGTTTTGAAGGATTTTCGCAAGGAACTTAGCTTTATTTTAGAGGTATAGACAAAAGGTTAACAACCCTGCCCCTGTGGGGCATGCTCAAATGTTTCTGCAAGCTTATGAGAATTATAATTTAATTTTGAGATGCTGAATTTGAGATTTTTAGATTTCTGAGATTGTGGGGCTAAGAAACACGTTCAAAATGCCAAACTTCGAAATAAAATCAAGAATCCATAATTTAGAAATAAATTCTAGATACTAGAAATTCGTCAAGGCCCTTGGGTTTCGAAAAAATTTAAGGATTCCGACATTTTTAAAATAGTTCATTATATTTTTGTAGCGAGCTCAGAACGAATTTTGAGGAAAATTCAAGGGAATTTAATACACTTAATTCTCCATTTCTCAATGTTCTATATCTCAATATTTCTCCCAACCTCGATGATTTCCCAAATTTTTGTTTTATAAGGGTTCTGTAGACTTTGATTTAGGCTTGTAGTATGCTTTAAAACCTCGATAAAACTTGCAATGTTACTTGGATTGAACAGACCCTTCAGATTCTCATACATCCAGTTCTCTATAGATTGATATTCTCTATATGTCGATCATTATCCATGTCGATGGACCCTAGAAAATATTCGGGAACAAATTACTCTCCACATGTCGCTGGAAAAATCACTAGGTTTTTCATCGTTTGAAGTATGTAAGCGATAGAGTTTTGTTTTGAATACAGGACAAACAAATTCACTTTTTGAACCCGAATTGTTTCTAGTATCGTACTAGTGGGCTAATGAATTACTGTTCTGAATGTATCGATGTCTCTTCAATATCGAGAAATGGAAAGCTGATTGTAGACAATTTTTAGGGAATTCAGAGTAGTATTTAAAATTGTTTTGGGGAAAACTAGGTATGACTAGTTCTGACTAAAATTCCAAGATTGTTCTGACGGAAATTGTGAGAAGAACTCTTTGTGCATTCTAGGATGGATTTCAAATTAGTTCTGAGTAGAATTCCAAAATACTTCTGAAGAAAATTCAATGGAAATTTTTAGGAGAATTCCTGATGAATTATAAAAAGAATTTCAATTACCTTCTAAAGAGAGCCAAACGTAATTTAAGGAGCATTCCAAAAAGGAATTGCAATCTAAGGATATTTCTTAAAGCAATCGATTAAGATCAATTCAATTCCAATGGGATCTTGAAAAACTCAACGGGAATTCTGAGCATAATCGTAAAGGAATTGAAGGAGAATTCCGAGAGAATTCTGATGGGTGTTTAAACTTACGACGGTCTACGAATTTCACCTCTCGCGCCGTAATACTAATGCCCCCAACTACTTCTGTTAATCATTACCTCTTGATCTGGATTACAAACCAATGAATGTTAAGACCGAGGTCATATTCCATTATTCCATGCAAGATTATTCTCGGCCGTAGGATAGCCTGCTTAGAGCTAATGAGAAATTCAAGAACAATTCAAAATGATTTTCAAGACAAACTCCAAGGGAATACCGGAAAGAATTTCAAGAAAATTCTGAGGACAACTTCATGGGATTTTTAAAGCCAAATCTACGAGAACGTTTTGGAAGACAATTTTTGACGAGAAACTGGGGAATGTTGAAAAAAATTATTGAGCTTTTTAAAAGTGAATGATTAAGTTAAATACATACAAATTCTTGTGGCTTGCCAAGATTTCTAAGCGTGTTAAGAAGAATCTAGGATCATTCTAAGAAAATTCTTAAAACATTCTTTTAAGAGCTCAATAATTAAGGTAATTCAGACATTAAAAACTTGTCAAGGCTCTGAATGCAAAAAAAAATGTGCCAGCTAGGCACTATTTAGTGCTCATACGGCGTGAAAACCTAACATTTTCATGAAAATCGAAATTGCTTCCACACATGGTGTGAATGTGAATTCCGATTAGCAGTTCAGCGATTTTTTTCCCAGAATTTCGGAAATTTTCCTGGTTTTTCTGCCCCAATCGAAAGACTCGGAATCAAACAAAAAAAGTTGCACCAGGACCAGCTACTCGGAAAGCAGAATCGCGTCGATTCTTCTAACTTGAACTTAATAAAATAATGTTTTCTCCTCCGCATTACAGTAAGTTGCTTCCATGTGGGATCCGCATCCAGTGCTTTCACAAAATTAGCACCTCCATAGGCGAAGCTGAATTTGTTCGTATTCTTTATTTCTCACATTTTGTTTCCAACGGTGAAAAATGTAATCGAACTAATAGCTATGAGCAAAGTTATATATTATAATATACAGACTATCGCGTGAAAGTAAAACAGCTGTTGATGACAGCCAAGAACGAAATGATCGTCTGAATTTATATTATCTTAAAAAGTGCCTCTAAATAACCTTACACAGATTTTGAAACCGTTGAAATTCGTGTAGAAAAAAATTGTCGAATGAAG